TAGATGTGTTTCCTGCAGACAGCAGAATGATGGCTTCTGTTTTTTAATCCATCCTGCAACTCTGTGTCTTTTAACTGATGAGTTTAAGCCATTTACATTTAGAGATTATAATGAGTTTATTTTTAAAAAGGGAAAGGGAAAGGAACAACCCAGGGAAAGAGAGAGAGGTACAAGGTAACTAGAATATCTTACCAGCTAGGCTCCAGTAACAAACTAACTGAAAGTCCCCAGTCACATGGTCTGGAGAGCTATTTCCCGAGAGAGAGAGACCTTTGGACAAAATGGCTCCCTAAAGTCCCAGAAAGCCTGCTTAGCTCTGCCCTTGGGTCCTCGCAGTTCTTTCCTTGGGACTGCTGGGAGTTGTAGTTTCCAATCACTGGAGTAGGGGGTAGAGTCTAGAAAGCTGGAGTAGGGGCTAGAGTCCACAAAATTCTGCAGAGTTCCTTTAGGACATCCTTTCTAAAACTTAACAGTTTTAATCAGTAGAAATGGATTGTGGGCAGCTTGGACATTATTCTATGGAAAGGAAGGTAATTGTAAATAGATTCTAGTGGAAGCTGCCAAGACTCCTCCACCTGCCTGCTGACCTACCACCACTTGCTGGCTCTGCTGGAGATGACAATTCCCACCTTAGCACTGTCACTGTGAAAGAAAGTGACTATACTCTGTGTTTCTAAACTTACAGTGTCCCAATTTTAGGACAAATTAGTCTCGAGATGAATAATTTTAGTTACTCATCCCTCAGACTCTGCCTTTACATATATATTTAAAAGAACTGCTTGTTTCACCCATAACATGAACTATAGGAAACATTTATTATAAAGTGTAGTCAATTGCACTTCAGTTGTTTTGAATTACCATTTCAGAAACCATATTTTTCCCAGTGTTATTTAAATATGCATGGAAAATATGATATTTTATATTTATAATTTCTTGAGAAGTAGTGCTACACTAGGTCTCTGCTAGTATTTTTATGTACATTAATCTTTGTACCACAGCTCTATGATGTCCATGCTGTAATCATCTTACAGATGAAGGAGGCAGTGCATAGCCTGGCTAATCTGTCCCAGATCACTAGAGAGGACTCTAAAATTTAGAGAGTTTGGAAGTTTCCTAAGTTGACACAACTATTCTTTAGTGGAACTGGGATTCCCACTGCAGAGCTCTTGAGCTCTAACTGCTGTACACAGCCTTGCCCACCCCCATGGTATGTGAGTGATTGAGAATGACAATGGCTAGTGCATGTTGGGTCTCAGTTATTCTCTGACGTGAAATGGCATGTGAAACTTACAAATGTCACTGCTACCTTTGAAACAGAAAAATTCTGGCCCATGAAGGTAAAAGTGATAAATTAATTTCTATCTTTCCTGGGCCCATTTTTCCACATTTCCTTAGAAATTGTTTACTGCTAGGACTTCACTATAAAGAAACTAATTGTCACTTGTTATTTTGATCTTCTTATAATTTTACAGCAAGCTTGCAGAAATTTGGAAGAGTATATGAACAGTAAGATGAATCCTTACATAATCAACATCACCCTAGCAGCCAAAATGTGTAGTCAAGTGCTTTGCCAAGAACAAGGAGTGTGTGTCCGGAAAAAGTGGAATTCGAGTGACTATCTTCACCTGAATGAAAGGAATTTTGTTATTTATAGTGCGACAGGTAGAAAATATTCAATATATGGAAAACCCACAATTGAAGACCTGGAGGAATTTTCTAAAAAATTTCATTGCAGCTGTTTTCCTAATGTCAATTGTGTGACAAGAGTTAATGTGAAATCTGTCATTCGTGTTCACGTATGCATTGATGAAGATATTTGTATAGATACCTTTCTAAACTCAAATATCAGTAATATTTCTAGGTGGAATAAGAGGTCTTCTTTGCTCACATTTACTGACAGCAATGTCTCATTTTCTACACCACCTGCTACAGTAACTCCATGTGATCCTGGAAAAGACCTCAATGAGAACTTCAGAACTAAATGTTTAGTGGAAGCTCTCTCCAACAACCTCCAAGAAGATAGTCAGAGCCATTTATATATTCAAGATAGCAAAAATGAAACAACCTCTTCTAGTACAATTTCGGTGCTTATTAAATTTTCTATTCATGTACTTCATGTTTGGATATATTTTACATTTTTATATTTAGTAATTTAACTACCTTAGGTGATTTTTTTCAAACACATGATAATACTTAGTTTTGTATTTGAAGTGTTTATAAAAATACATAGTTGAGGTAATAGTTTGACTTTTTGAGCAAAGATTATTTTCTGATAATCAAATCAAACCTGAAATTGTTATTGATGATAAACAAAGTATGTTTACCACCACCTTTAATCTTCAAAATCACAGAATTCTGTTACTGCTATAATTACTGGTAATACATTATGACTAAATCTACATTTGATTTGAATCTTGATTACTAATGGAGCAAAAAGTTTGTTTTGTATGATGTTTCATTTATATTTCCTGAATGCCTTCACTCTGTAGCAAACATTTTGCATACTGTGAATGTATATATAAAATGCAGAGGTACCTGTTCTGTTCTTATGCTTATGAAAAAATAAGTAAGGCTTTTCCTGTGAAAGGCGAAGGTTTGGATAATGCCGATTTACTGCAAATGAATGCTTGTGTAAATACTTTGTGATTCATAATAAAAATGTTAAGACAATATCCATAGTAAAAAAGAAGTTATCTTTTATAATGTAGTCGACTATTCAGTCCTGAGCATAGAACTATGGATTTTGGCTACTTTAGTCTAATCATTTCTTCCAGTTGTGATATATAAAAGCATAATCTTTAAAAAGTGATTATCTTGTAAATTTTGCTTTTGATTAAATGTCTTCAGAGTTCATATAGAATGTATTCTAATTTTCGCTTAATTCTTGATTGTCAATTTTTTCCTAAAATGCCTTTTATCTATGTACCATCCACATCCTCAGATAGTTTGCAGACTATTTATTCTCTGCCAGGGCCAATAGAAAGCATCACATATTTAAGCGGAAGGAGTATGCTCTTGTAGTTTGTTTTATATTTGAAGAATACAGACATTGCAAAAATTACAAGGGTGAGTGGTAAATATGAGAGGAATTCAGCATGTTGTGGCAACAAATAAGAATTTTGAAATCAGAGAAGAATTTCAAGGGCATCATAAAACTACCATGGGTATATTGTTTAGCAGTGAGAGAGTTAGGAAACTCAAGACAGAAGGAACTCAAGGGGGAGTAGAACACTAAGTGTGGTGTTTAATGTGGTGAGTGGTAGATAAAGACCACATCCCTTGTCAGATGCTTGTTTTAGAAATGCAAATGCTATATGGAAACAGTGGGCAGTGGTGAATTTCCGTTATATTTTAAATGTTAAGATAAATTAGCCTTGCTGGACTGATTGTCCCATTAACATGAAGTATTATCTGGGCCCTCCCTGGTGGCACAAAGGGTTAAAGCACAGCACTAAGAAGCTAGCCCCAGCCATGTCAGCATAAGTTTGATACCAAGCCAGGCTGCTGACCCACATGTAGTGTACCTTTTAGTGGATTTGTTCACAGTTATTACCCAGGACCCCATTACATTTTTGAATATTGCCATCACCCCATAAAAATACACAAGCTCTAAAAGTTTCTCCACTTTCCCCCAATCCTCACAATTTTAGAGAACTACTAAGCCCCCCTCCCCTGGCCCCGTCACCCCACTCCCCAAACACATTTCTGGAGGCCATAGCTAGTGAGGACCGTCCTAAATTGATTAGTGTTCTTTGTTAAAGAAGTGTTTGTCACTAAGAGCTTCACAGTTCCTTCACATATTTTCAGCTTCATACTTACCTTACAAGATAAAATTTTATTTCACAAGAGGAATACGAAAGCTCAGCTCGCTTTTCAATTACTCCAAAGGTAGCAAGATGTCCTTCATTAGTAACAACACAAGACTAAATTCTTGCTCCTTAAGCATGAATCAAAATTCCCTTTTCAATTCATTACCTCTTTTGATAGACACCCATGAGTCTAACCCTTCAGCTATTATTTGGTTTTCAACTTACTGAAAACAGAATTTCCCAATAACTTTGACACTATCAGACCTGATTCTAAAATTTCAGGAGTGTGGGAAATGAAAAACAAATTGTACATAAGTAATCATAGCGATTGGGTTACTAATCATTCTGAGTGGATTTCTTCTGTTACCTAGTGTAGTAATTAATCACAGGTAACCAATAAGAGATTTCCATTTTGAAGTAAAATATTGAGTGTGAATATCACTGCTCTTCCTTTTATGTACCATTGATTCACAAATGTTAACAAACCTTGTCGGAGCCACCAAGCCCCTCCAAGTTCTCTCGAATTGCCTACCCTGCGTCCCTCCCCCAGATTCAACGAGTTACCCCTGGACCCCAGTTAGTGTGATTGTGATGAGCAGCCTTAATTGGATCCCTTGTTTGAGCAGGCCAATGCTGCCCTCTCCAGGATGTATGTGAAACTGCACACACTATAGGCAAGTTCCTTCTGCAGTGAATTGCTAGTAAATTTAAAAAAACTTTGTTAATCGCTATGCATGTTGTCACTCACCTTTGGCCCTGCTAGTGAAGAACCTGACCTATGACCCATTTATCCTTCCAAATACGTAGAAACAAGCATAGATACAGGAGCTTGGTCTTGCCTGCAAGCAATACGCTGAAACATCGCACGTCCTTCTGCCAAGTCTGAACACACTTAGGCGGAGCCAACTGATGAGCTACGTCACCAAAATCTAAATAGATGCAAACTGCAGCTTAGGCGCTGAAGCCAGAGACAAGGACATTTTAACTGAGGTCGTGGACCAGGTAAGATCAGAATCATAAAATCAACTCCCAAATCTTGCAAGCACGTAGATAGCCGTGCCTGGTGGTACCCGGGAGAGCCCTAACTGGATTGTAGAGATCATCGCCAGGAGATGACTCTGAGGAGAGCGTGTTGAGGAGAAACCCCGTCAGTTAACACTGGACAGTGCACGGCCCATCCGAATACTTTCAGGAGAAAAGCGAACACCAGGCTACAGAGGGAACCTGAAGGCCCCAGGACCTGTGGAGCTGGCAGCTTCCGGTACAGCGGGTTTCAGGAGAGCGGGTTACAGCGAGGTCAGAGGTCCGTTACGGGGTGGCGGTTACAGCAAGAGCCCCGAGGCCAGCTCGCCTGGAGCAGAGGTTTGGGGCACATCTAGGGTACAAGGCTGTTCCTCGAGAACAGGGCAGCACTGAAGGCGGCAATCAGTGTAGGCATATGTATGGCCGAAATAATAGACGCCACAATTTTGCCACCAGTAGGAATAGGGAGGGGGCATCTTGAGGGTGGGACAGTCTTGCTCCCTTCGGGTAGGTCCCAAAGTCGTAAGACTTTGTGGAGTGTGTGACCACTGAAAGGAAAAAGGGATTTGCGTGGGGGCAGAACATTGAGGGAAAGTGACCATGACATATCTGGAGGAAACTATTGGAAGATAAAGGCTATTTTATCTTCTCATCATTTTCTCCTTTCTAGTGATAGGGAGTTTTCTTCCTAGTACATGCAGAGCATGTTTCCATGGGAAATTTATGTGCTGGATTCAGGCAGGAAAGACGGTTAAGAGAGCCCTTCTTGCATTTGCTGTTGCTGTTTGTAAACACTTTCTGCCCAATAAAATCAGTCTGCCTTATATGGTCTATTTGGGGGTGGCACATTCTGATCCCCTTTATTAACATATGCAGAAGTGCAAACTTCCATGTACACATCACCCAGTTTACAACTATTAACTCATTGTCAACTTGTTCATCTAATCTCATGATGTCCTTTTTTCCTAGGGGCCCTTCCTAAATTATTTGAAGCAAATTTGAATAGAATATATAATGATATATAAAAAATAGATTCAGGGAAAGATTATTTCAGTTATGTAAGATATTTTACTTTCAGAAAATTTTAAAAATAATATAATAGTTTGTTTTTACATCATTTTGTGTATTTTCCCATCTCAGTTGTAATCCCCGTGGGCTTCCCATCACCAGATCACCTGTGTGTCATCACCATAGTCCAGTGCATTTCCCTCCCCCCACTGTTTTTGATCCCATTCCCCACTTCACCCACTTAAAATGTCTTTGGTATATATTATTATTTTCTTGCCTGGTCTGTTATACTCCTGCTGTGAGTGAAACCATCACTTTCGGAAATTTTATCTATCATCATCTTCTGAAACTATGTGATAGCTACTATTAAGATTCTAAATATTTTTCTTATAAATGAAGGGTTCTGGAATTAAAGATGTATGGTGAGTGATTGTCTTCTGAATTCAGCCTTGTTATATCTGAAATGAAGTAGTCATAAATGATTCCTTTTTTTCATCTCCCAGATATATTTGGAGGTCAAAGGTAGGCAAAACCTACACTCCCCACACCTGTCTTCCACACTCCTAGTAAGATACACTTCTTCCACCTTTTCATCTCTAATTGCATCTTGCATACAGTGTCTATTAGTGACATTTCTGAAAAAATCTGAGTTACTACCCTAACAAAAGACTCCTTTTGATCTCCTCAGCCTCTGTTTTGACTGACACTTTCTTATTTCCTCCTCACATTATTTGAACGCTGCCAACATTTAAATGTACTGAGATTTTAAAATTAATATTTCCACTTTTGAAAATGAGTATATTACAATTTAGATTAAGTATTACTCCAAAAAATTAAAGCCAAAATGGCAGCTATTTGAGGATAAAACATGAACTTTGATCTTGTCAAAGCTGCCACACAATTTTCTCTTTCATTCATTTTGCTACCTGCGTAAGAGCTACAATCAAAATTCTTTGGTATGAAATCTGCTTCTTCATTGCCAGCATTCCATGTTCTTTGACAGTCTCCTATGTTGGACTATTGAACACATCTTGTAAATGTTTCTCTTCAGTCTCTATCTAATCCCTCCCTCCATTCCCAGCCAGGCTCCTCCATGGTTTTGTCCAACTTCAACATCATTCTCTATCTGGAACCACACAGCATTTATCTAATAACTTAGATATTTGAATCTCATGGTGCTTTAAGCACACCCTAAAATAGTTATTATTGTGCTCTTTATATATTGCCCTCATTTTCTGCATTTGAAAGTCAGTTAGGTAATTCTATAACCCAGTTGTGTTGCCACCATGGATGTATGCATTTTCTCTATTCTGGAAGGAGTAGAATTGCTGGATCATAATCCCTAGAAGTCTGATTGTGGAACTGAGAATAGTGGAGAAGGGACGGGGTGGATGGAGAGTGGGGTTTGAAAGGGGCCCAGTGGACTGTGGCAGAGGGCTGTGTATCTCCGTGGTGGGTTGGTGTGGTGATATATATCTGAGAGGTGGGATCTATGCCTTCAAATCACATATAGTGTTGTAAACCAATGCTATCTCAAATATTCACTTATTTCTTAAATTTGAAAAATATAATGAGGTGTAAAGAAAAAAAAACACCATATACAAAACAAAATGAAATCACTGACATTATTATCATCTCATGGTTGACAAGAACAAAATTTGAACCTAATATTTATAACATGTATATGACTTACAGATTTTCCATGTTTAAGCACTTATATATTTCCTGACTCTAGACTTAGAAGCTGGGAAGGAAAAGAAAAATGGCTGCACTCATCCCACTTCAGGCTGAGTAGTGATTTGAGAAGATGAGACAAACATGAGCTATCACAAGTTTATATCATACATAGCAGGAAATAATTTATTTCAAACACAAGATAGGCCTTCCATTCCAAAATGAATTAAACTCAAAGTTGAGAACTTGCTAAAGTTTTCAAATATTGCTATAAAGCTCCAGTTAATATATTATTCC